ATTACATGCTAAAGGGGTATTAACTGTTTACTCTAGCTATTTCGTTAAACTGTTTAGTGACAGGCAACATCAAGTTCCCAGGAGTTTAGTAAAGATGTGGCTATGTGATCTCTGTGTAAACAAGAGAGCTTAGTAAAGATGTTTTTGTGCCACAATGGAGACAACTGATAACTTCCATTCTTCTCTTTTTCTTATTTATTTTGGAGTGTTACTAATCCAACCATCTCAGCCTATTTAGCGTTTCTGGCCATTGGATCGAGACTTTCGGTAGTGATGAATTTACAGTGTAAAAATCCCCATCAATGGACATCATTATTCATGCACATGATGGTACGCAACAAAGCTACTAAGAATCGCCAATGTCAATAGAACAATAAAGAGGTTAAAAATACTATCACTCTAAATAGTGGTATCAATCACAAAAAATAAAGCACTAAAATTGACTGGCACAGCAATGCGCGCCATCAATGATCTAGTATAAAACTGCAATGCATGAATATCAGCCTAATATCATAGCCAATTGCCTAGGGACAATTCCGCGACATCTACCACCACTACTCCACACTACCATCTTCACATTGAAAAGTGGCACGACAATTCTTTGCACTTGGGGATTATAACTCCTAGCCGCAGGACATCTGAATGAAGTGTAATAGGGTGAGCTCATGCATCTCCTCATCGAGCTTGGTCTTCTCCTACTCGACCTCCATCTCAGTGAGCTCGTGAGGCTCAAACTCTATCGACGCACCATTTGTGAGCATCCTCCCCGCCACAAACTCCTCTGAGTTAGGGTAGGCGTAGGCTGAGCTCGTGGACGGTAGGTCCACGGTTCCCGATATTGGGGCAATTTAAGGTGACATCTCCATCATGGGAATTGGACGAGGACCGTGGTGGCGATTCTCACCATCTTTTATTGTGCTATTGATCTAGGGGATGGGTAGGGGTCCTAAATAGATATCTTGAGCGATGGAAGGGCAATGGTGGACGGCGATGGTGCAATCAGGGCGGCATTGTCGTTAGTAGGGGGTAGAGGGAA